TTAAGAAGTTCATTAAAGAAGATGTTCGCAAGTTAATTGGTGAATATCTGGTTGTTGAAGTAAATGACAAACGTATTTATGATGAATGTTTGAAGACTGGTGCTTTTGAAGTAATGATCAATAGTGAGCGTTTAACGTTACGTAGACTTCCATATAGAATTCTCGATGATTCTGGTAATAGTGAGATTAATGTCGAAAATTGGTATGGTGCACGAATGCAAAATCATAAACCTGATATAACACAATTTGATTCTTATCATTCAATATTTCGTTATAAATATAATTCAAAATTTTGGCTTGATCAATTCATGCGCAATAAAAAGGAACTTGAACAAATAACAGATCAAGATGAACGTCGTCAGAATGATTTTAGTCGACGTATGCTTCGTGTTACTGTTATGTTAAATACAATGGCAACGATGCGCAAACGTAAATACATTTTAGAAGATTCTACAACAAAAACTAAAGTAGTCATCGAACCTCCATCTTCTCTTGTTACTATTCTGTACAATCATCAATCAAAATTAACTCAAAATGGTCAAACACATCACCATTTAGTTCCACCAACGTGCGTGTATTAAACGAAGGTTGTCTTGTTTCATATAACACACTTGTTTCATCTGGTATGAAGCCATTTCTTCTTAACATGGCCAATGCAACAACACCCGGTGGAGGTTATCGAAAAGGTGATGGTGCTCAAGAAGAAAATCTTTTTCGGCGTTCTAATTACTATATGAGTCTTGATTATAATATGGATCGAGAACAAGATCAATCTATCAACAGTAAAAGAAATTATTGCTCACCTACAGGACAAGTATTAGCCTTGAATGTCCACCAATCATTGTACAATGGATGCATATGGGGCTATTTATACATCAGGAATCACAGAGTCTCTTCACATAGAATCGCAATCTCTCTAAACTCTCTTTAGTTAGAATTACTAATTACGCTAAAGGATATTAATAAGCATCAGCCGCAAAGCATTGGCAGGCGTGATGGAAGTCTACAATGTACTCGAAAACTCATGACTCTATTGCAGTCCTACAGGTTAGCGACTGTCAGTCTTTGGTGTCTCCATCTTCACGTTTAGACAGCAGCATCTTCCTGGAATGCTATTTTATTGAGTTGGAGCAGTTACATGAATGTTGAATGCATAAATATTTTAGCTCGTAGATTG